GACAGACAGAGAGACAGACTGAGAGACAGACGGGTTTTATTTCCTGTCTGACATTCTTTATACATTCTTTTATTTCCGCATTAAATGAAGGTAGAAAGTGTTCAGATCAACCTGCTGATAACACAGACAGCTGTTCCACTAAAGGGACCACTACGACCTGCAGTCACATCATCAAACACCTTGTCCCATAAAACTGTAGAAAGTCAGAGAGATGGACTATTATCACCTGGTATTGCTAGCAATGACTAATGGTGCTTGAGCTTACTTTTCCAACTTGTTGTACTGGAACGCGGTCAACTCAGTTGTGACTTCCGAGGTTAATGGAACGCACACTATAACCTGAAAGCTAATGTTAGCTAAGTTATTTGAAAGTCTATTTTTATCAATTCGTTCGTTAGGCTGCATGAAGAAAATGTTAAAACTTAAAAAGTCTTAATAACATTTTGAATTGAGCATGTTTTTTTTCCGGAGCTGATAATGAAAGTAGCTAATGAGTAACGAGCCAATCTTTAATCAGCATCTGATATCTAATGTTAACAGAACACCAAGACACCAAAACTAAGTAGCTAACTAGCCAGATAATTTACAGAATTTTTTGTTTCTAAAACTCAAAGATTAAAAGTTTTCTAAAGAAGAAAAGTAAATTACGTTAGTGAAGACAGTTTCCTTTAAAGTGTGTTGTATTTGTGTTGCTTAGCAAGCGATTCAGCCCTAACAGTGATGACCAGCCATAAGCAGCGGCCGCCAGATACAGAGAGTCCGCTGGAGCTCTTACAGTCACTAGAAGCACATTCATGCTGTTTATAAAAGTTTCCTGTGTTGTTGCGTGAGCTAAGCTAGCGGCTCAGAGAGGCTAACTCTCCTGTAGCAGTTCACAGTCTGCTGAGTGCAGGAGTTGGTTGGTGACGTCACCTGCCTCCAGATCAGCCAATAGCAAAATTCAATTGCAGTAGCAGGTTTCAACCAGCAGAGGGTGGTCGCTGAGCATATTTATAGCTAAATATGTAGATTTCAAAGACTTTGCAATAAAATATCCAGATTTTAGCAAAACACTAGTAAAAACCCAGATACAGAGGTTTTAGTTACTCTTTAAATGTTTTTTACATTTTTTACATTGCAATGTTCTACAGTTTCTTTATTTCTTCCTTCAATTCAAATTTTTATTTTTATAAAAAATAACTAAGGCTGCTTTATCCAAAATGTTTAACTTACAAAATATAGTTAGTTTTACTTAAAATTTGCCATAATAACACTACATTTGGACCCTCACCTGACCAACTGTGTCAACCTTCACTGTAAAACTAAAACAATCATTGGAACTGATTACATTGAAAATTTTAAGTAAGACTAACAATATTTTGTAAGTTAAAAAACAGTCTTGATAAAGCAGCTTTAGTCATTTGTTTGTCTTAATTTTGTAATTTTTATTTGTACTGTGAATTTGTACTTGAACTTGTCAGTACTTAAACAGAATATTTTCAGTTTAATCAGTTTCAACAATTGTTTTAAGTTAAAATAACTTTGCATCACATTACAGTGTTCAGTTTCATGAACACCTGAACACCTGACCTGTGTCGGTGAGTGGGCGTGGTCTCTGGATCCTGGCTCTGCTCTCACGGTACACCTGCCTTCAAGAACTCAGGAACCAGCACCAGTCTCTGCCGGATCATGTTCCAGTCACGGTTTGTTTCTGTGCTACGCTTCCTGCTCGGATGCTTGTTGTGTTTGTTTGTCTGCTCTTTCCGCAGCCTTCACTGAATCTCTAACGTCCCATCACAAATGACGAAAACTACCACAACAAAGTCAAATATTCATCGTTATATAACGAGAGAAATAACTTACTGTAACTTAATCCTCAGTTGTTTTAGTGAGCATAAATGTGTGCAGTATTTTAAGTTCATTCATTTTATTTAAGTTGACTTTATATGATTAGAAAAATGTGAGCGCCACGGTGCTGCAATGCTCAGGGTTGTTTTGTTTTTAGTTTATAAATCATCATATGATCAAGTACAATACATTTTTAATAATATCCAAAGATTTGATGTTAGTCTCGTAGAAAACAAGGAGGCCTTTGTTGGCAACTTCATTATAGCAGAAACAATTAGATATTGTTGATAATTGATTAAAATCTAATGAGTTCAACTCAAACTGTTTGAGGGAACCGATCGCCTTAAACAATTTAAATTATTAACTCAATAATTGTTAAGGTAACTCGGGTAAATTAAGTTAATTGTACTAATTCCATTCAGTTAATTTAAGTTATTCTCAGATGCAACATTTCTCCAAACTTATTTAAAATGTGTTCACAGAATTTATCTGAATAAAGCTTAAATAAATCTTATTTATAGAAATGTTACCACCAAGTTGAATTTACTCAGTTTTCTTTCACTAACTTACGTTATGAAACAACTGATGTCCCCCCTTTTTTTTGTTGTTTACATGAAATCTTTGAATGCATATTTGGACATTATGATTAAAAACTGAAGTAAAAACAAAATCCTAAGCTATACACACATATATACATATATAATATTTAAATCTGACTTGATATCATTATATAAATGTGTTATATCACCTGAACTTAAAATACTGAACACATTTCAGTTCACTCAAAACAACTGAGTTGCTTCAACAATTAAATTTTGAGTTGAATTAATTAAGTTTAATTAATGTGAATGAGTTTGTTTGGAGGATTCATTTATATCAACTTACTTATTTTATTAAGATGTGATGATGTAATTTACTTTATTTAATGATTTTCTTTAGTGGAAGAAAACTGACAATTTAAGTTAAAAAATATAAAAAGAGATTAATTTAATTTAACTGAATAATCAAATAAATTCTGTGAGCACATTTTAAATACGTTTGGAGAAATGTTGCATTTGAGAATAACTTCCATTAACTAATGAAATTTGTACAATTAACTTAATTTACCTGAGTTACCTTAACAAATACTTTATTTAAATAAATGACTTGTACTCAGATCAAATATTTGATCAACTTTTTTGAGGCAACAGTTTCCTCAAAAGGTTTGAGTTGAGTTAACTCCTTATCAGTCTCAGTCTGCTGTTAAAAAGACACAACAATAAAATAACTTCACACACACCTGCCTGTCTGTTACCATGGTAACACACATCAAAACAGACAAATCCAACCAATCAGAGTCACTGATCACCTGCTGATAACAGGATGTGACGATTCATCCAGACATTCAAATACATTTACCAATAAATACATATTATAAAATAGCATTTTTACACAACTCCTGCTGATTTTCACAATAAGAGTATATTCATGTTGCTGAAAAGTCTCGTAATAATAATAATAATAATAATAATAATAATAATAATAATAATAGTAGTAGTAGTATTATAGTAGTAATAATTAATTCATAAATAATGTGTGTGTTCACTCACCCTCTCAGCGTGTCCCGGAGTGGCGGAGCAGCAGCAGAGCATCAGAACCAGCAGCGGGACGATCCTCCGCCTGGGGCCGCCCGGAGGCTCCATGCAGGCGGGCACACACTGCAGAGAGTCCCGGCTGATCGCACTGACTCCCGGCTGAACTCTCTGCGCTCGGGACGGGCCTCCTCCTGCCGGTCCGGCTCAGTTCGGCTGCGTTCGGTTCGGTTCAGTCCAGAGGGGGTCTGTGCAGCTGATCCAGTCGGGCCACAGAAACCTGCTGCGGGATGGAGAGAGAGAGACAGTCCGCAGACGGACGGAGTCAAACCCGCAACATTCACCGCAACACTGCTGACTTACGCTTTCAAAATAAAAGCACACACCGATCTGATGAAGATCAGCTTGTTTGTGAGTCCAGTCAGCCACCAGTCTCCTGATGGAGAACATGATAAAGCTCACAGCCAGGAATACAGGATTTAACTGGATGTACCTGAACGCAACGTTTGAATGAGACTTTTATGGGAAACAAACTGAATTCATAATTAATAACTGTTTAAGAATGTGCTCATTCTTTATTGGTGAACAATATTTGTTTAATACCTGTCTCACACTGACAACAGTATAAAGTCTCTTCCAGATATTGTTCTTATTTATGTCTGTAACGTTTAACATACAGAGACGTTAAAGAGTCCTGATGGAAACGTGAAAAACTCACAGACAGAAATTCAGGATTTAACTGGAAGAAAATAAGAATATGAAATATTTCTCTAAACAAACTGAATGTCTCACGTAAAATAACAAAACATCTATAACTGCAAATAATGATCAAATTACTATTTATTTGAATAAAATGTCCGTTCATCGCACAAAATGAAAATTAAAACATTGAAAACATTTTGCTCATCCCTCACACTGTTCACAATAAACTACTGTTATAAAGTTTTTGCAATGCATGATGGGCAATTATTTGAATATGTCAGGCAGATGTTGTGAACTATTACAATATATTTTAATTTCCCATGAAAATACTGTATTTGTACAGTATTATTAGGACTTTGGTTGCTGTAATTTTCTTCCACATTACTGTAAAATAATAACAGTTATTAAACAGTAATTAACTGTAAAGGTTCTATATTTAAAACAAATGAAACAGTTTAATACCTGTTTCTGAAAAGACAATGAATCCATCCGGAGATACACTGACTACAATATTATAATAATATGAATGTATTATACACCACATTCGGAGGAGTGGCCCCTGAAACCTTCCTGTCACGGGCTTTTATTTTGAAGCCTGTGGACCGGAAGTGCCGGTGTGTGATCTGTGTGTGCACCGGAGCCCCGCGCGCTCAGTAACTCTTGTACCGGATTTAAGAAAAGACTTTATCTGTGAGCGTGAGGCTTCGGATCTGAGCGCGAGAGCTTCAGGTAAGAGACTCACCTGAGCTGCTTGTTTACCTGCTGATGCTGCTGATGCTGCTGATGATGATGATGATCATGATGGTGATGATGATGAGGAAGAGTGAGCTGCTGCAGCTGCTGAAGATCAATCACAATCAGCTGTTTAATAAGCTCTAATTAGCGGCTGACGTCAGCAGGTTAATTACCGTTAATGAGCGCTGATGATGAAGGTGAAGAGGAGGGACAGTAAGTAACGGGGTACTTTTACTCAGTATCACAGAGCTGCAGATCAATAACAGTTAAAGATATCTGTGATTGATCACTGAGAGACACTGTTCATGCTTACTGGACGATGTGTGTGTGTGTAAAAGTAATCCATTACAAGTAAAAGTACTTTATTCATTCAGTTTTATTGAGTTTTAAAAAGTTTCAGGTAAGCAGCTAGTTCATTGTAACTGAACCTGCAAAGTAACTGAAGCTGTTAAAGTGGTTACAAGTACATTTTCCCCTCTGAAGCACAGTAAAAGTATCAGAGTAACTTCTAGTTATTATTCAAACTGCTGCATTGCATGTGACAACTGATGAACCAGTACCAGTACCAGTACCAATACTCAGTATCCAGTACCAGTACCAGTAACCAGTGTCCAGTAACCAGTACCAGTACTGCAGTATCGTACCAGTACTCAGTGTCGTACCCAACCAAGTACCTCAGAAGTATCAGTATCAGTACACCGTTACTCAGTGTCAGTACCAGTTACCAGTTCTCAGTTACAGTACCCGAGTACCAGTTACTCGAGATATTCAGTTACCAGTACTCAAGTTCAGTGACCAGTGTATCCAGTACCAGTTAACCAGTACTCGAGGTTACAGTACCAGTACTCAGTGTCCAGTTACCCAGTATCCAGTACCAGTGAACCCAGTACCCAGTATCTCAGTACCCTTACTCAAGTGTTCAAGTACCAGTACCCAGTAACTCAGTTCAGTACACATGTACTCAGTACCAGTACCAAGTACTCCGTGTCGTACCAGTAACCAGTACCAACTCAGTATCAGTATCAGTTAACAGTACCAGTACCTCAGTGTCAGTACCAGTTCATTATTCAGTATCAGTATCAGGTACCAGTTACTGCAGTACCGAGTATCAGTATCGTACAGTACCAGTACAGTCTCAGTGCTCAGTTACCAGTATCAAGTACCAGTACCAGTATCAGTCCTTACTCAGTGTCAGCACCCAGTATTCAGTACCAGTAACTCATATCAGTTCCAGTACCCAGTCCACCAAGTACTCAGTTGTCCAGTACCAGACCATTACTCAGTACCCAGGTACCAGTACTCAGTACCCAGTTAGCTGCAGGTACCAGTTACCAGTACCAGTACATCAGTACAGTACTCAGTGTTCGTTACCAGTACCAGGTACTCAGATCCAGTAGTCAGTATCAGTACCAGTACTCAGTTACCATGTACCAGTACTCAGGGTCAATACCAGTACATAGTAATCCAGTACCTCAGTTGACCAGTTACAAAAGTATCAGGTGACCGTACCATATCTCGAGTGTCCAGTGTCAGTACCAGTCCATACTCAGTTTCAGTGGTCCGAGGGTACCAGTAACCAAGGTACCAGTACCAGTGTGCAAGCTTACTTTCGCCGTCAGTCTTTGGGGTTTGTTTTCACATTTAATCTGCCGACCTCATTTACTCTGACTGCTGATCTGATTTTATGCTTCCGATTGCGCGGTCCATGCGTTTAAATGTAAACATTAGGAAGGGATTGGTGTGATGTTCTTTAAGTATAATGGTCTTGTGTTCTCTACCTGCTGCCTCTTTAACTGTCTTGTCTCTCTAACCTGTCTGTCCTCTCTACCTGTCTGCCTCTTACCTTTTGTTTGTTGTCCTCTACCTGTCTGTCTCTACTGTCTGCTCTCAACCTGTCTGTGTCCGTCTACCTTGTCTGTCTCTCTACCTTGTCTGTGTTCTCTACCTGTTCTGTCCTCCTGCTACCTGTCTGTCTCTTACCTATTCTCTCTGCGTTAAAGCAAACATTTATCATTGTTGTTTCTAACCTACTGAATGATTGTCCAGCATGAACTATGAGATCTTTAAAACAGATGGTAGTTCATAATGACCCTTCTTAAGCCCCGCCCTATGCTCCAATAAACAGTTGGAGAAAGTTGTCGGGCAACTTCCTTCTTTCCTGCACTAGAATTATGATGTGTAGGCTTAGTTTTTGGATAGTTGTTAAGCTCATGTTGTTAAAATGTAAATTGTTAGAAATGTATAGTTTGTTAGCTTGTAGTTGGTGCGGTGTGGGCTCAGAGGCAGAGGCGGCGTCGTCCCTAATCGGAAGGGTTGTTGGTTCCATCCCCGGCTCCTCCCGCCCAATGTCGAAGTTATCATTGAGCAAGATACTGAACCCTGAATTGCGAAGTGTGTGAATGTGTATGAATGCCTTCGGTTTCTGAGTGAATTGTCTGTGTATACGGTGTAAAAAGCGCTTCGGGTATCAAAGTGTCTACAGGCTCCATAGTTGTTATCAATAGATAGATTGTTAGGAATGATCGTTTTTGTTTGTAGTTGTTATCAAAGTTATAGTGTTAACAATAATAGTTGTTCAATGTATAGTTGTTATCAATTATAGTTGTTACAAAGATAAGTTGTTAAAATAGATTTCCATTTTTTAAACAAGTTCCTTAGGATGACGTCTGATGACGGTCCTCCTGTACGATGTATGAAGTATGTGTGGGACCATATTTACATATGTAGCAACCACACAAGCCATAGTCAGATTACTAAGCAACATTAGCCAACTGGCACAAACATTTGTTATGTTTACTGAGTGCTGCCGTTAGGCGAATACTGAGAAATTAAGGCATTTACATTAAAGACCAGTGATGTAGGATTGAGTTGGCATCTAGCTGTGTACAATTGCAACACCCCCTCGTTTTCAACCCCTACGGCCCAAGATAAATTGTGATTCGGTTAAACGAAATAAAGATAAGGCCTGCTTTTTTGTCATGCCCATGGAAGAGCACCTGGGCTTTGAAGCCAATTTGATACATAGTGGCCGAGCTTTGTAATTTCGGCAAACCCTGGGCCCAAAGAAGATTTTTCCATAGCTTACATGTAGAAGAAGCGGCTGTAAACAGGTGGATTAACACTTTGAGGTTTATCCTATTTTGTTCCAATACACGGTGGAATGTTGGGAGGTCACGATTCATTTTATCTCCTTTAAAGTTTACAGAAAGGCTAAAGGCCAGGGGTTAGCAGCTCTCAGCGGGGAAGTTCATGTTTGCGCTTTTGCTGTTGTGCGCCCACTGAGCAGCTTCCATAGTAAGTAATAAAATACTCCCCAACTTGGTAAAATACAACATGTTGGAAATGTGGTGTGCATGACCCACTAACCTGCTGAACTAACAGCTTTCAGTGCAAAACAGTTATGGTTGTGGTCTGTGTTTCACACTTTAAAGATCACACTGTGGATGGGTAGATTGTATTTGGTCTTCTCAGGGGAAAACGTGTTTCAAACAGAAAATTAAAACATGGGCTATTGGTTTCCAACACACAGGAGTTTTACTCTTATATTTTTTCTATTGTCCTTACCCGTTTTAACCCAAACCATGATCTTTTTCCTGACTACCCATTTAGTTTTTTTTCTCTAAACCAAACTGCAACTGTGTTCACAATGTTAACTATATTACATAGACTTACT